TAAAATTGTATATGTAGGCTGAACTTGAATAGAATTATCAGGAATATTCAATGATATTCAACGCGTTTTGTACTTCAAAAATAAAAATATTGTTCTAAGTCGCGAAGTTAGCATTATATTTTTTCAATTTCGATTTTTTATGCCTGATCTATACTATCGGTATTACTATAGTATTCACTATCCGTCCGCTTACGCTCCTTTCACGATACGCTCACGATTCAATCCTAGACGATCAGTACAATTTTTACTTTACTTTACTTTTTTTTATTTTTACTTTATTTTTACTTTATTTTTATCTTTTAACTAAATTACTACATTAAAATTTTATTATATTTTTTTGCACATGTTCATAAAAAAATTAAGAAATATATATATATATATATATATATATATATATATATATATATATCAATAATTAATTTATAATTATAAAGCGATATACATATACATATCTTTTCCAAATGACCAAGATTTTTCTTTACTCATATTGCTTCACTGCTCGTGACATTGTTCGCGACACACTGTTCGACAAAGACAGATTGCAAAAATTGGCGATGAATTAATCGAAAGTTTATTTACACTATCGGTACGAGTCCGGGCAAATTCGATCACGCTCCGACAAAATATTCTTTCGGAGGATCCTTGCTAGAGCGAGAGCGAAGCGAGACTAGATCGACAGTTGACCCATAGTGTGAATATGTACATTTATAAACAATGAAAGAATATTTGATCGGATCGTGAGCAGATCATGAGCGGACAGTGAGCGGACCGATAGTATGGATCGCACCTTAATATAAAGAATGCGGAACTCTTTTAATTTTTATCAGGATCTGTAAAACTATGAAAAGTGTTAGAACTCTTAGTTTTTTTTTAAATTCGTAGATTGTCGTACTAGCTTCACAGACACATATTTCACAACAAAACATAAGCTTCAAATTCAGTAAAAATCGGAGCAATTTTATAGCGTAAAATAATATTTGCAAAATGATAAATATAATAGGGCAAATAATTTTCTAGTATAATAATATAATAAAATAATTAAACCTAATTTTTAACAATACTTAATAATCAAACTTAATGCAACATAATATCATAATTTTTTTAATATTAATTATTTTTTTTTAAATATTATGGAAAGAATTAAATTTAATTCAACAAAATCTAACCAAATTTAATATGACATTTCTAATTATTTTAATATGAATCATTTTTTATTGTTTTTAATATCTCAAATGAATAAATAAAAATTAAATCAAAATTAGCATATAAGAGCCATAGCGCGGTTGGAGCGCAAGGAAGAAACAATACTTCCTCCTTATCAATTGTTGTTTATTTCTAACTAAAAAACTATAAAAAATTATAACGAAAATTTCGTATCGTCTTTTGATCCTTCCTCTGCGCGAACTTAACAATATAAAAAGACAAAATATTACATTGTATAAAAGATAGATTTATCTCCTCCTCGACGCGTGGGTGACGCCAAAGTGCATCGCGCGGAGATATAGCAAGCGTGCTGTCTCCAAAAATTCATCAAATATATTAAATTTTCTGCGTAAAATCGCAGCAGATCTAACGAATCAAGTAAAAGTAAATATATTATACGATATTATACGATTCTTTTTTATATTTAAAATTAATAGTTGGAACCATGACTCACCAGAAAAAGAGCGGAATCTGGTGAGTATTAATAATAATTTTATTCGGGCTATATGCACGTTAATTTGCTGTTATTTATCGTGAAAGACAAAAGCGTAATTGGCCGTCATATCAAGGGTTTGAAAAAAAAGCAATAACTGATACTGGCAAAGCAGAATAGATTAATTTGATAGGAGGATAATTTGATAGATAGATAAATCTCGTATCGACTTACTTCTTCTTATAAACCCTCTGCTAGTAGTTTCGCTGTCTGCGAATACAGATGAATTGTACAGGTGGACTTGCAATCTAGAGATAACGAGCAACGAGGACAAGGAACGACGACAAAAGACTGCGAGACCAGTACTACGCAGTGCGTTAAATATTATTGGTAATATTTAAGGCCTTTGCACGTACAAAAATTTTAATCGTAACCGTAAGATCGTAAGAAAACTGACCAATTATAGTTTATTCTTTTATCACAAGGGAAATACTCGACTATAATTTGTCAATTTTCTTACAATTTTTCCTTTACTAGAAAGAGAGACTCTATCAACGTAGAGAGGGTCAAGGGAGAATGTGGCAGAACTAGATATTTTTGCTAATTGGCTTTGCCATATCGAGAACTTCCTTTTTTTCAACATATATAGATATACATTATGTATACAGTATGAATGTATTTATATACACAATAGTTCTATATAGCTACAGGTATGTAAATATTTACATTAAAAAAAGGAGCTTATCATAACGTTTTAAAAACGTTTTTTAACCATAAAATAATAATAAGAAATGTTTCTATAGAAACATTTTTATAAACGTTTCTATAGAAACTTATTAATATTTTATGGTTAATAAACATTGGATATGTTTAAAAAACATAAAATATATAAAATATATAAAATAAACGTGTGCTATCTGGGAAAATTAAACAGTCAATTTTAAATTAAAAAGATGCTGGGTTGTGCAGTAAAAAGATGTAAAAATTCATCTGGACAATGTGTCAAAATGAACAAATTGCCAAAAGATTTAATAAAAAGAAAAAAATTTATTACGAATTGTGAAAAACTTGATGGAATAGAGAATTGGTCTCCACTTGACACCGCAGTTTTATGCGAAGTATTTTTTTCAATTTTAATAAATATATATATATATATATATATATATATATATATATATGTATATATTCTCTCATTTGAAGTTTTATGCATCGATATTTATATGTTACGTTCATAGGTTGTGTAACATTCGATACCAAAATTCTAATATAATTTTGCTCTTAATTTTCTATAGTATCACTTCATAGCTGATATGTGGGAAAAGCCACATGTAGATAGAAAAAATAAATTAAAATATAATGCTGTTCCAACAATATTTGGAGATTTAGTATATCAAGTGAGGAGAAAAGTTGATAGAAATTAGCTATTATCATAAAAATATCATCAATGCAATAATGATTAATAGGTACAATTCCTTTTTAGAAGTTATGACAGATGTTGACAGAAGAAATTCATTATTTTCATTTTTCAAATAAAAGAAATACGAGTTTTCACCCATTACATCCGAAACTGTTGCCAAAAACTCTGAACTATCAGAATCAGTGAACAGATAACAATATATATGATTAAGTCTTCTTTCTTTCATTTAGTATGTTTTTGTAAAATTTAAAATCATTCCTTAACTTCATAAATTGTCTAAATGTTTAGATGTATTAAATGATATTGAGCAAAATCAACACTCTCTGTAAACACTTAAGCTTCAGCTACAAGCACATTAGCGGCTCATCAGATCATGAGCGTTTTGGCGAATCGTGATACGCGATTCACGAGAAAACGCTATAGAGAAAATACGCCAAAAAATACAAAAAAAAACGATGAATTTTCCCTCTACATTATTCACGAATATTCTACAAATAAAGAATGATTCATAAAACCGTCTCCTAAGTAGCAAAAATAATTATTTTGACATCAATATGACGTCAAAATGATTATTTTTGCTACCTGAATAGTAGTACAGGAATCTTGAAAGATCAGATAGAATGTAAATCCGATAAAAAACAATTTTAATTCAAATTTTAAATCATGGAGGTATAGCAAAAGAAACAATTTATAGTTACAGAAGAAGTAAGCGTCGAAAATAGTCAACAACACGATTGTAATATGCAAGTCAGTGAAAATACAATTCTGAATAAAAACTCATCTGAAAGTTTTAGAAGGAGAAACTTGTTTGCTGAATAAAAAATAATTTCAATCTTTAAATTCAAATCCAGATATTTTGGAAAAATATCAAAAACTTGAGAAGTTTTATCATAAAAATGAAAAATTAAGAATAACACAATAAAAAAATATATCAAAAAATCTACAAAATCTTAAAAGATAAAAAAATCTTCAAAATCATGTATGCATATTACAAAAAACATCATCAGTAACTAGTAAACTTTTCAATGATGACCAATTAAAAATTTTAAGTGAAAAATTGAAACATGATTATTTAGTTAGGTCCAAAGAATGAGAATAAAAGGTGCTTCTCATGTTTAATTTCATGATGTAAGTACAGCGTATTGATCATTAATTGTAACTAACCAAATGATAATTTTACCAGCAGTATCAATAAGTAAAAGAAATTATATCTTCAAAATCTCTATAATTTTTACGTGTTGTTTTACAAGAATTTAATGTTTAAATTTTCATCTAAAAAACATCAATAAAAATATTAAAATAAATATATATGTATAAGTATATAATTGTACATAATCGATAAAGCAATAAGTAACATATGCATGCAGAAATATTTAAACAGAATTTTAATGTAAAAGCGCTTTTTTTTCAAACTAAATTAAATTATCAGCTTATACATATTTATATCATGCCAATAATATAAATACTTTTAAATTCAAATCTCAAAAAAAATATAAATATATGAAACATAAACATACTCTTTTTTTAGCAGGATTTAAATTATTTACATTATGAATGTTTTTCTTTTATTTTTTTCCTATTATCGCTGCAATTTTTTTAGTCACATTGTAATGCGAAAAATTCTTTTAGAATGTTTGCAAATATAAAAGATGCATATCAATTATGCATATCATTTGCCTTGTCATACAAATTACAATAAAATTTCACTTATATCTTTATGTATTTGTGTGTAGTTTGTATAATATTCTATAATAATTATATAAATTATATTATTATACATAATAATTACATAAATAATAAAAAATACATTGAAATTATACTGACAATAAGTGATAAGATACGTAGAATGTCCTGTATAATTAATCATCAATTAGATACGAATCTATGTATAAAAATAAATAAATAATATGAAGTAGATTTGTCAGAAAATTTCAAGAAAACCTATTTTAAAAATTAAAAAATTGATTGATGTTATTTTATTTTATACGATTAATGGATTAGTTAATAATTCATTTCGTCGTTTCGTAGAATACGTTTCTTCACCATGTCAGCAGATGCAGTTTTTAAATCATAAGCTAAACCTAGATAAGCACAGAAGTCGATCAAAGCTGTAGTAAAATTAAGCTTATAATTTCCAAACTCTGCCGCTTTGTAATCGCAAGGAAAGACATGATGATAGTTGTGCCAGCCTTCACCAAATGTTATGAAAGAAACACTAGCATTATCGGTAGAGGTGATTGATCTATAAATATATATAATATACATAATAGTATATAACCTACGATAAAATAAATATTTTTAAATATCTATGTAAAGTATATAATAAATTGTATATAATACAAGTACATACTTATCATATGGTTTTACACCCCATATGTGAGCCGCGGAATTCACTGACCAAGTGATATTTAAGTTTATGCAATATCTGGCAACGGCGATGTGCCATGCAAACCATAAATTCTCACCCCATGTCCACCAAGGTATTACAGTTGGCACGATAAAGCAACAGAATGACATCAAATATAGATACCATCTAAAAAAGGTACGAATATAAAAAAGAGCAAACAATCGATAAAATCAAGCAAACAAAATAATATTTATTCAATTTGATTTATAAAAATAATTGTGCTTATCATACTTTTTTTGAAAGACCACAAGAGGGTCTTGATCCAGATCACTCATGTCAATCGTCGCACCCTTCCTAATGACGTCTGAATGTTTGCGAACCATAAGCCAGCCGATATGTGAGAAAAAAAATCCTCTACATGCGTTATATGGATCCGCATCAGTATCAGTGAATTTATGATGCACTCTGTGATCTCTGACCCACTCATAAATGTGATTCTGAAAAATATAGCTATATTAAAAAATAAACTACTTGACGCTACAAAAAAAACAAAATGTAGAACTCTAATCAATAGTTCACAAAAATGTAAGATCTATATGATAATTGAATGAGAAAAAAGAATTCAAATCAAGCTTACTTGAAAAGCAGTAGTCTGGAAAATCATAAGAATAAATCTCATCGGCCACTTTGCCTTGTAAGACCGGTGACACCATAATCTATGAGCGCCAGCAGTAACGCCTATTCCCGAAATGATACCAATAGCGAAGTCTATAAATTAATTGTTGATAGTATATATTTCATTTTATTATTGTATTGATATAAGCGATGCAATTTAATAACTTATAAAACGGCACAAAAAAATAAATACATACGCCAGATGAACGTCCAAAGTTTAGCATAAAAAAGAGTTAGATATAATCCATAAAGGCAAGAAAGATGAATATAAATGAAAATAATGACATTTCTCCAAACAATTTCCCATTTATAATCGATTGTACGTTGTTTTTTCGCTGGCACTTTTTCGTCAATTTCTTTAAATTTCATTAAAAAATTTTCCAATGTATTGAGTGTCATGCTGTAAAAAATTTGTGTTTAATATATGTAAAAGTAAAGTGTGTCTTTATTTAAGTTCTACAATATTCTTGCATTTCTATCAAAAATTTTAATATTAATAATTTTTAACATTATAATTTTTTATCACGTATAGTTAACTATGTGGTCATTTTTTATCTGCAGGCACTCTTTATTTATTTCTGTTTTAAAATCATACTTGATCTCTGTTGTCATTACTTTACTTTTATTTTAAGGTTATATGACATTCATCACTCGCAAAAATAAGTATTTTTAGGAAGTTTTATATTTTATATTAAAATATATATAATTTTTTGTTGTTGTAATATGAATTTTTAATAAACTAATATATTGAAGAAAGAAAGAAGGAAATGTTGTTGCGCTCCAACTAGCACGTATTGGCTTTTATGCCATTTTCTTTTTAATTTTTTAAAATATATATACATCAGAATTTTTTCCTATATTGAAGAACATGCATATACATGCAAATACACAAGATATTAAAAAAATATATAAAAATATAATGAAAAAATATAAGGAAAGAAAAAATAAAAGCAAAACGTTTATAATAATTCATTTTATAGAAACTCTCAGAATCTTGCAAGGGATTTAAAATGTAAAAAATTCGAATTATTAAGTTCTCAATATATTATATAATAATTTTATTGTTATTAACTATATTGCAATTATTACTTTTATCTATTTCTATTTTAAGATTATCTATTTTTACTTTAAGATATAATTAAATTTTTAGCATTAGATTAAATTACAAGAATTATCTAATTATTACATATTTTCATTTTTATAATTAATCTTAAAAATATAATAATAAATAGCAAATCACATCAACAATGTAATATATATAGCATAATATCTTTTTTATTTAAATTTTCAATTGATTAATAATAATTTTGTGGAAGATATATATATATATATTATTTTTATTAAAAATAATTCATTTAACACTCTTTAAGTAAATGCGAAATACAATAAGTTTACTACATGAAATCCGAAATACAAAGCTATATTCACAAGGTTCTTACTCACGCACTTCAATCTGACTGAAACGTTTGTATATCAATAAAATTCTGTTCTATTATTCGTTCGATATATATAATGTACCAAGAACAGAGCATTGACTATTATTTCCTTGAAATTTACATTCAACGATTGACCATATTCTACAATACATATTAGAACGAAAATAAGGTTCATTGACATATGTGTGGATTAGTAAGGTCAAATTATGTCAAAGAGGAAGCACAAGTATTTCCTTGTATTAAAATGAGATATGCAAAAACAATGAACGAAAACCGAATCGTCATTTAGTTATATAATAAAGAATATTTATATAATATTCTCTTTCTTGCACAAACAACATTTAAATAATTGTAAATAATAATAAAATTTATAATAATCTAACAATTATAATATATGTACAGAAAGGTTTGTATATAATATGCATTTCTTAATAGCTTTAAAGACATATAAGAGAAAAATGCTGCAAAATTAGTTATTAGTTATTAGTTATAAATTGATTGGTGAAAAAATGTAAAGACGATTATATTTTGTATTAGATCTTATAATTAGACAAAACATTCGATAATTCACGAATTATGTTCTATTTGAGCTTTAAATTTAAATAAATTGAACAATAATTTAATTAAATTGAATCAAATATTTGACTATTTGTATATTTTTAATCCTAAAGAAAATTTTTGGACGATAATAATATTTGTTGCAAATAAAAGAGAAACAAAAGAAATAAATTTATTTCGTTAAACATCATCAAGCTTACATCATACATAAATTCGTCTACGGAAATCAGTTTGAACTGATTAAACTATTCAAATGTATTCTCAAGATTGAATAATTTCAAATTCGATTATCTTAAAAATTGAAGTACTAGTCTATATCAAAATATAGTACATTATTAATTTATATTAATATATATTAATATAATGCAATTATTATATATTAATCTTTTGCACTCTAATTAATTTTATTATATGAGTTTTCAAACAACTCCAAAGCATTTTCGAGGTCAGTTTTTGTTTTCAGTGAACATTAAAAAATGTTATATCAAATTTAAAAAATCTATTATTTTACTATCATCACTGCTGCACTTAGTATTATAAATAATTTCATTAATAATTGATTCAAAAATAAATACCATAAATAATTTTATTATATTTTTATTATATCATTGTATATCACTGTAATGGTGTTCTATAAAGAGTTAAGTTTGATACAATTATTAATATTTTTAAACCTGATAATCTGATGAATCTGTTGAAGATAAATGCTCACATTATTTTAATCGAATGATCTGTTGTTGGATTTCGAAAAAAAAAGGAAATATTTATCTTTGTTAATCAATTTTACTGTCTGGATGTGATACACTTTGTCGCAGATTCCTGTTACCTTTCTTCATTACAACGTTTTTTACGAGCTCTTCGGATGGTTGCTTGAGATCATATGCCCAACCAATTTTCGCGAAGAAATCGATAAACATTGTAGTAAAATTGAAAATGTAATTGTTTAATTCGGCCGCCTTATAATCCCATGGAAACACGTGATGATAATTGTGCCAGCCTTCACCGAGCGCTATAAGGGCAACGTATTTGTTTTCCGTCGGATTTATGGACCTATTTTTAAAATGTATCCGATAAAATTACTTGTAAAAGAAACACTGAAGCTTCTTTCAGTCAAGTTTATATAAATGCATTCGTGTAATTTCTATCTACTTACGCATCATATGGTTTTGAACCCCAAATGTGAGCCACACTGTTGACACTCCATGTACCATTTAAACTTAAAACATAACGTATAATCTGTGATTTGCAGGCTCTGGACCAGGTTTCATTCCATCCATAAACAGGCACCATTATCGGCAGTAGAAAGGCAAAGATGAATTTTATTATCGAGAAATATCTGCAAAGAAATATAAATTAATTAGTACACATATATAATTTCTTGTTACGTTAAATCATATGTTGAATGATCTTGCAAAAAAATTCTTGAAAAGAAAGAAGATTAACACGAAAGTGTAAAATTTAGAAGAAAGAATTGCTAAAATACCGTATTTAGAATAATAAATACATTTTCAAGATGAATTATATGTGTAGATATAAATAAATTTCACACACATCTTATATTCTTTTCCGCTTCTTAGATAATTATTTCAACATAATATAACATAATTAATATCTTTAAGACATGGACTTACTTGCAACCAAACACAACGACAGGATCTGCCATTATATCTCTCATACTGATTTGACGACCCTTTCGAATCACATCTGGATGTTTCTTCAACATCAACCAGCCAACGTGAGAGAAGAAAAATCCCCTGTTGCTATTATGCGGATCCGCATTCGTATCCGTGTATTTATGATGTACTCTATGATCTCGAATCCAGTCATAAAGATTATTCTATAAAAAATTATTACAAAGAAAACTTTTTCCCTCTAGCGCAAAAATCAATTAAAAACTTGTTTACCTGGCCAGCGGTAGCATAGAAAATCAAAAGTATAATTCTAAGCGGCCATTTTGCTTTGTAAGCTCGATGAGTCCAAAAACGATGAGCACCGGCAGTAACGCCGATCGCTCCTATCACACTCACAATAAACACTTAAGGCAAGAAGGATCAAATTAATTAATATATTTATAAAATTATACATAATTAATAATGTAATTATACGTATTTTGCACTGATGTCATATATTGATTGATCTATAATAAGTCCATTATAAAACGCTACTAAATTATAATGACTTTATTTAAATATAAGATATAAAATTTTTGTAAAAAATTATGTAAAGATTAAAATCTATCTTTGATCATATAATTAAATTTAACATTTTTAACTTGGATATCTTCAAAATCTAATATGTTTGTTCACAATATGTTTGTGGTAATTGATATAAATGACTGACGCAATGTCTGTAATGAAATCAAAGTTATACAATAGAAATGAAAGCTCTGGCTTGTCTGCTGTCAAACTTTTATTATGCTTCTCTTTTATCACGTAAGTCTAATCGATTTGCTTTCAGTCAGTCAATGTCGATTTCTGTAATTAATAACTACGGCATTCTTAGTAAACATGCTATACACTTTGAATGAAATTATTATATATGTGAAACGTTTACATATATTTGTAAAAGAGTATTTAAAAAAAAAAATCAGTCTTATATATTGAAAAAAGGATAAATTTCATCTTTTTTATTTAAATATTTTTTCCTGTAATTTAAAAATTCGAATTATAAGAATTTGCAATTTTCCAAAGAATACTCACTCCAAATGTTCGTCCTAAGATCTTTGTACCATTCAACAGTGAAACAGGCATATAACATGATCATATGAAGAAGAGTAATGGATATGACATTCAACCACTTCACTTCCGTCTTGAATTTAAACAATTCTTCAAACTTTTTACGTGTTTCGTCTCGGGTTTGAATATCATTTTCATCATCTGTGGTGATTGTTGAAAATTCCTCTTTTCCTCCGCAAAAATTTTCCTCCACATGCATTTCAGGACTCGTATTGGGTGCCATCTCGTTTATGAAAATCACTGAATCGCTAATTCAAAATAACATTGTATTACCAATAAGAAGTAGATTGTTGATTTCTTTTTAGATATTTTTAATTCCCGGTTACGAATTAAATTTTGCGAGTTAATAGGTGACATGCTTTAATGATTGATTTAATTTGATGTTAACAATCGCTCATTTCAATATTCTGTTTTCTTTGTGTATTGTTCTGTAATTTTTGAACTATTACTGAGACAAATTTTTAGGATAATTAATCTTATTGTTATAGAATTAATATCTTTACATCATCATAGATATAAATAATAATTCGTTATCAAGATCGTTAGTATATTATTTTAAAGGTAGATTGTTAGTATATTATTTTTATTATTAAAGTACATAATTGATGACTCGATGAAATGAAACGCATTTCTATAAATTATAACACAGTTTGCATGAAATGTAATTATAATTGTAATTATAACATTTATATGTAGTATAACAATTTATATATAATTCAGAAAAACAAGTTTTTTAAAAAAATTATACTTAAAAATTATTTTATGAAATATTTAAGCGTTCTTAAAAATTTTACCCGATATCCAATAGTGCTTCTTAATCACAGGTTTGAATTACAATAACTGCACCGTTTTTTTCGAGTTGCAATCTTGCACTTTTATAAATTGCATTGTCAGCATATTGCTCCATTTAAAACAATGATGCTTATGATTCAATACAGGAACATAATGCAATAAAAGCAACGAAGTAAATATAAAATTATTGATACATTCACATAAACGGGAAATATATATAAATAATGTAAACAATATCAACATAATGTAAACAACTTTGCAATTACAATCATTGCAATAATCATATTATAGTCATTATACAATGATCATATTATTGTTTTCTAATTAAAAATTAATACTAATAAAAACAAAAGATATAATAAATCTTCAATTATTAAAAATAATAATGCAATTCGTTTATTTGTAATAAAAATATTTTTAATTAGTATAAACTTTGTACGATTATTTGCTCAAATTAACTGTGCAAAATTATTTTACATAGGAAATTTAAATGCTAAAATAAATTATATATAAATTATATATATATAATATATATACATATATATATAAATTTTAAATTATAATAATTATAAATTTCGCGAATATATACAGGATGTATCAGAACGATCGTAAGTAGTTTTTTGAGGAACTTAAGCATTTTAGAGAAAAATGTTTCATATAAAAGTTGTAGGGCTTAAAATAACCTATTTAATGATTATATCAGTTTGACTTTGAATAGCACCGTCATTCTTAATTGTAAATTACATATTTTTTCTCAAAAACAACTATGTGTTTTCTTTACACTAATCGATTGCTCTTATTATTTTGTACATAAAAGTATTAAGGTAAGATAATCAAACAATGAATATCTTGCTAGATATTTTATGGTTTATGTAAAATTAAAAAATGATTTCAAGTCTCGTAACTCGAAAAGTACTTAAAAGAAAAATATTTTATTATAGTGTTTTGGAAAGCTCTCGAGGTAAGCTATAAGAATATGCAAAACACAAGCAACATTTTTAGGACATAGATCTGTTTGCATACAAATTTGAACACAATTAATTTTTCATATGTACAGCCGGATAAACTATCGTACACTCGAAGTTTGGTGTTGTCAAAAAAAATCATCAACTATTATTATAATTTACTTTTGTCGCTACGACATGCTACAATTACATAAGAATAATCCAAATATAGCACACTTTCAAAATGAAAATCATCTCTTATGACGCATAAAAATTGATCGAATTCATCATTTCTGGATTTTATTCTCATTAAATATATCTTGTAGTTGGCAGTGTTTTTATGGCCTCTGAATTAAATTTCGTTTAAATTTTGTTACTAGATTGCACATACAAATCATATCTGATGTAAAAATTAACATTTTTGAAAATGACTAGCACACAAATCAGATCGCCTCTGGATTTTTTTTAATCATCAGCTCACGAATACCGCATCTAGCGAAATATATATATATATATATATATATATATATATATATATATATATTCAATTTTGTATATATAACTTACACACAAAATATTTCCCACGTAATACGTTGTTTTCACGTAGCTTTCCAGATAGGACACATTCGTTTTAGGAACGTTTCACAAGTGTTTCTTCGAAACGTTTGTATAACTAACTCTTGAAAATGTTTCTAATCGGTTAAAATGTCTATTTGAAAAATGTTAAGAGATACATTTCTTTTCTGATAAAGAAACGTTTAAAAACCACTTAAAATACGTTTAAAATACATTTTTTTCCTTTTATTTATTACGTTTTCCAGGTAGGCACATATTCATTTCAAAAACGTTTCACAAGTATTTTTTCGAAACGTTTGTATAACCGACTCTTGAAAACGTTTCTGATTGGTTAAAATGTTCACTTGAAAAACGTTAAGAAATACGTTTCTTTTTTGATAAAAAATGTTTAAAATATGTTTAAAATACGTTTTTTTTCTTTTATTAGATATCAGAAAGTTTCAGAAGTATCTTATAGTTTCCAATTTTTAAATAAATTTTTATTTTTTTAATATTATTATTTTTGAAAATTAAAGCAACTATTTTGTATAACAATGTTTTCAATTAAAATATTTCTGTTTAACTTGTACAACTTTTCTTCCTTATACCTCTATTTATCTTGTACAAACTTTTATTCTTAGTTGGCGCAATTATTTTATATCACTATTTTAGACAATATGACAGTCGGATACAATTAGTTCATGCTTCGCATGAACTTGGCGCGAGACACTATTGTGTCTGTTGATTACTTCCTTTTTCAATAAAAACAAAACTAATACTAACAAAATATTAACGCAATATTGTTTAATTTAAAAGATTATGAGCATAAGAATTTGGAAAATATTATTCTTATATACAATTATAAGATGTAAATAAACTCATAAATATTTTAGATATGTTTGCAAATTTTAAAATGATAATGTATTTAATAATAATGTATGATAATGTATTTAATAATAATTAATAATTTATATTTGATAATGTATTTAATAATAATATATATTTTTGAATGTTTTATTTAAAGATATGAGAAAATAAATGTTTATAATTTTATTTAAAAAATATGATTTATTCCCTTTCTTTTTCTTTTTAAAACTTATTTTAAATATAATTCTTAAAATTTCCTTTTTTCCACCGACATAGAGCATGTACTGCGTTATCCATAATTAAACAGTGTACTAAATGTAGTCAGATAAATTCAAAAAGATAGAGTGTGAAAACATCATTTGTCTTTCTCTCTAACAAGTAAAGGTACCCAACTGTCACTCACGGATTCTAATGAAATTTTGTATACTTGTAAAACTATGCAAAATAATACACACGTATTTTTTTTTATTTGCGAAGAAGCGATTTTAAGGGCAGAAACAACCCCTTGTATATATGGGATGGATATGCGGATTTCGTATCGCAAAAAATTTAAGTTTCATAAAAAATTGCTTCCGACAAAAGTTGTAATGTGTAAAAAGATCTATTTACTGACGCCATGAGTTTGACCTTGAATGGTGTCGCCAAGATCAGGACAAAGCTACTTTGAATTTTTGAAAAGGAACCCTTCACTTTTTATTGCATTCTTGAGACCTTTTCGAGACCTTTTCAAAGCAATATAATTTTACTAACTTTAAGTAAGCCGTTTCGAAGTTATCGAGCTTTTTATGGTCTCGCTCACAAAGGCTAGTTAAAACGAATTATCGATCTCTGTTATTCATAACTGTAGTGCACGGATATATTTTATGGTTATAAAGGAGAGGAGAAATGGCCTTCACACATTTTTTTAATAATGATTTTTATTAATAATAACACAACTATGAAAAATAAAAAGTAGCATTTCTTTAAATTTAACATCTTAATGTAGAAGAAAAGGAAATAGATTATTAAATTTCTCCCCTATCATTGAACAAAACTAAAATTGAAAATTAAAATAAATTTTTTGTTTCTAAAATTTGAATATATGAAGAAATATGAGTCGAGAAAGATATCGATAGCGATTATTTTACAAGATTCCACTTCCAATTCGTTTCAATTTATATAGTGCGCGATGATTCGTTTCATGAGACTTCTTGCAAGGAGATCGAATCGCTATCGCGGACTATACTATAGTTTAATGCCGTTGCCTTCTGCATTTATTGTTAAATATGTGCTCAAATGAATGAAATAATATGAAAATCAGGCAAAAAATGAAATTTTGCGATTTGAGATAAAATTCGCGATTTGAGATCAATTTCGCATTTTGTCGCGGCATAAAATCTTGCTCAAAAGTTGTTGGTCGAATAAAAACAGATATACAACTTCAGCCTGTTATATTTTGATAAAATTCGCGTTTTCGCTTAATGCGAAAAGTTCCCTAGTTATTTCTCACTTCTGACGTCACTATTTCAATATAGCTGCTACTCACGAGTCTTAATGGCAAATAATGATCATTATTCACGCAACTAATTTATTAATGGACAAAGGTCTATTCTGATTCCTATCTTTGAAGAACTGCAAATCGAAATAGCATTTCTAAAAGAAAATTCATTCTTAGTATGTGATCGGTTGTCGTTACTGAGCCTGTTTCTTGAGAGAATCACAATAAATAATGTAAGTAATTCGCGGTAATATCGATCAATCAGTTATTAAAACAGAATCTGTTTTACATAAAAGAACTTGTAAAATATTTATTATAATAAAAATTTTTTTTAGCTATTTAATACACAACTCATTAGTATCTCATATGTAATAATTTTATATTAAGATACAAAGTGCAAAATTTATTTGTAAAAATTTTTCTATAGCTGTGTATTTATATGTGTATTTACCGATTCTTTGTAAACTTATTTATATAAAAACATCCTATTTTTTTTATAAACTAGAATTATTATAAAACAATATGTTAAAAATCTAAATTACTTAAAAAAAGTTTTCTTTTCATTAGAGAAAAAGATTAAATTTTCACGAAAAAAATCTTGTAATATACAAATAAAATTATTATTGATCAATATTGTAGAATATCTTTATTCTTATCTATAATACATATTATTCTGTATAAATCAATCTTATAGAATTAAAAAAAATCCTATAAAATTAAAAAAAAAAGAAAGATAATTTAAGGGATTAAGAGAGAGAGGACTACATCTGCTCGATCAGAAGTGACGCGCACGAAATCATGAGTTATTTTTGCTTTTTTCATCGTTATAGCAATTAACGTCAAGCTTTCTTTCTTCTTGTCGTCAAAAATTCATCATCTAGTTGACGTTTGTATCGACACGGTATTCGGATGATGAATTAAAAATTGGACGAGTCTCGACAAGCGATAGCACATCACGATTGTTATACTTTTACATTCTTGAAATCATCTGTTATCCGTAATAAAATTAACCAATCAAATAGCATACCTTCAATCATATTTAATCTGAATTTAGAGTATTGCATTATTCAGATTTAATAATGTCGTGTATAGCATTGTTTTTTTATTTATTAAAGTCAGTGCGCGATAAAGAACAAATTTTTAATCCATTTCAAATGTAACAATATTCTTATTAATTTTTCAGATTTGAATAATGTCGATTGTGCTTAAAGAAACAAAATTTATGCTAATGATATTAACGGTAACTCACCTTGTCGCCAAACCTTGCATTTTCACATCACCATTGACACTACAATTGATATTAGAATACGCCGAATGGAGGTCTTGGGATCAAGTGGTTCTTTTCGATAATATCAGCCCATTTAGTAAGTAATTTTTTTCTTAATAGTTAAATTTTAAAGGAAAGAAAAATTATCTATGAATTAACAGCCGACAATAGAATTATTTTTATCTCTAGTAAGCGAAAAATAAATCGGGTAGATTCTTTAACTTTTTTATCTCTCTTTACAAGTTAATAATGAACGCGTACCGCGTATTGAAAATTAAAAAATTTAATTAATTTCAACAAAATGCTTTTAAAGAAATAATATATATGAAAAAAATTCTTGGGTAAAATGTCCGCTATATTTTTTAAAAGAATTCATAGAGTTGGAGACGAAGCATTCGAATCGTATTATCAATTAAATATCGAATAAAAATAGATTTAATTGATTGCGAGCGAATGTATAGATTGTGCCCTTAGTTATGTCCGGCCGTTGATTGAGTGCTTTGGTGAAAAGGGCATCAGTGTGTCTTTACAATCGGCAACAAATCCAAATATACCAGAAGCTCTTACGATTCCAACTCATCGCATCGGTTCTATTGTACTCTTGGACGGACTCAATTTAACATCGCCTGATAATATTATTCAAATGGTACGACTTTAATATTTATATGTATTTGAAAAAAGTCGGAAACGAACATTTTCAAGCTAAATTAAATAAATACACATTAAAAACTTCTTTTGTTATACATTACATAAGATTGTGTAATTTATATATTTTTTTAAACAAACTAAATAGTTCATATATATATATATATATATATATATATATATATATATAATATTAAAAAAAGTATATATATATACATATATATATATATAATTAAAAAGAACCTTTTAATGTTATGTAGATTTCGTGTGATTACAATTTCTTTTATTACAATTTTATATAGATTTATTTCCCATTCTGTATTTTATAAAGCTTATTTTTGCAGATATTAAAATTATTAGTATTTGAAATTAATTACAAGTTAATTTTTATATTTGTTCGCGCGCACGTATGTGTGCGTGAGTATACGTGTATATTTGTAATATAATATTCATATTTAATACAATTTGTAAAAAATTACAAATATTTATAAATTGTCCTAAATATTAAGAAATTATGCAGTGACAACAGTGTTTAATTATCGTTAAAAAAGAATTTTATACTTGCAAAAAAATCAAGAACTGTTTAAAATATTTAATATTAAAAATGTTTAATCTTCTATAAAAATATTGTATAAATATATTAAATATTTGTGTTAGCAAAAAAATTAGTTTATCAATTTTCAATGGTGTAATAATCGCAAGCGACTTTAATAATGACACGATAAAACCATTTTTTTACGGTCACTGAATTATTCCCCACAGAGGAATTAATACAATTATGCTTCAACTTTCTAGATATCAAACATTTCATAATCAATAATTCTGTTTCATGATAGAATTAGGTCGATTACATATCGCCGTTTTATCTTTGTTGTCAATTTTATTTTAGACTCTTTATTTTTTATATTAATATGTTTCTTATATATAATATATTTTTTTTCAAATTATTATAATCTCTGTGTTGTTTTATTTTAAATTTAATATCTTTTAAATTAAATTAACAATTTAAAAATGGAATATGTATACAAAAATTAGTGAAAAATGTCTTTTTAATACTTTTTTCTTAAAATTTAGAGTTAAAACTCCAAAATGATTGACATCTTAGTAACTATACTTTATAAAAATAATTTTATAAAAAATTACACTAATTGATAAATTTTTCTTCAATCTTGTAACATTAAATAATAAACTATTATCAATCTGAGCCAATGTTTCGACAGGCATCTCAAAAATTTCTATTTAACTATTATATCTCCTGGCTTATGGTGACTACAAGAAACACCGACTCAACTATCGACATGGTTCTTCGAGATTTAAATATTGGTATCGATAGTGATGTCGTCATAGCTACTTCGCCACTATTAAATGATGCCGTCTCTTGGAAATATGCACAGAAATATCGAGATAAGTAAGACATGTATATATAAAGTAAAATATATATATATATATATATATATATATATATATTTATATATATATATATATATATATATATATATATATATATATAAATCCTAAAATATACGTATTATGTGTAAAATGTGATTTATGAAAGAAAATTATTCGTTTATTTAAACATATTAATTGTTTTTGCTCGTATTACATCATACTGAATCGTAAAATATCGTTTATTTTAATATCTACGAAATTTTCACATTTGAACATGTTTCATTTATGTAAACTTTAAAAAATGCTAAAGCTTTTTAATTTAAATTATTGAAGTGGAATATAAATCTTTTTTCATTTTTCTTTTTTTAAACAAATTATGTTACACTATACTATATTATTAATAATTAAATTATTATTTAATAATTAATTAATTTAAATTATTAATTAATTATAACTAATTTAAATTAAATAATAATCAAGTAAATTTTATTACAGAATATGTCGATCTTTTCGACATTACGGCGATCGTTTCGAATTTATGGGACCATCGAAACGACGTAATGTCGAAAACGTCACGATCAATCTAAGCTACGCCACTTTAGAGAATCGCTCAGTATCGTTTTATTTGATGCATACTTATAAAATACGTCATTCTGACAATACAAGTCTCATTGTCCGATATCTCGGTTTCTGGAATCCGGATTCTCACACCCTCAAACCGCCAATAAACGTGAAGCTAAGAAGCGATTTTAGGGGTCTTCCTATTATTTTTGGTATATTGAATGGAACCAATGATGGGCAGACAGATATTGCAGAAACAGAAGCTACTGCTAATGATATCGCACCGCTTTTGGACTTTGCTACTATTGTTACCAACAGCGTAAATGCTAGGTAAAAAGAGTACTTAAATTATTTAACATAATTATCACTATCACTTGATTATATTCAAGTACAATTTTTTTACACAAAATACATACATATTCAAGAAATTTAAAAAAAAATATTTTAGTTTAAAATGCAAATATTTTTTAAAAATATTCAAATGCAATAAAATAGTCAATCATATCAGTCTATTTTCTCATATATTTTCTCTACATAAATTATTTTTAATTTTCGATAATAAATATCATGGGAAAAAAATAAAATTTTCGAAAAAATAAATCATAGTTCAGAATAATCCGTTGCAAAACAAAACAAACAAGTGAATGTAATGGAATTTTAATCTAATGTTGAGTGAAAAATAAACATTTTTGCAGTATCGAATTGATACCGCATGAAAAGCTTGGTACGTTAACTAACAAAATATGGAGCCATCTTCTCGGTGATGTTGTGGCAGGTACTGTTGACATTGGTTTGGGATATATAACGTCGAATGATGAGGAACGTTGGACGGAAATGACATTCAGTCATCCTCTGATACGTTACATGTCAGTAAAAGTTTTAAGTAAAATTGAAAGCATCAATTAATTGGCAAATAAGCTACATTAAACATTTATTTCAAACTTATTTTCATTTCTTATGTAAATATATTCAATGCAAATATTCTCTTTCCTGGTGATATAGAGAAAAAAAAGAATTACAATTCACATTTATATTTAAATTACATTTATATTTTAAATTCAAAGCAATGCAAATGCATAAAAAATTATATTTTAAATTCAAAGCAAAGCAAATGCATAAAAAACATTTTAAAAATTAAAATTTAGTTTTTTTTTTATTTTTGTTATAATAATAAATTTAAAAAAAATATGAAACAAATAAAAATGCTTCTAAATAGCAGAAGATATTTGAAACTTTATAAGTATAACTATATATATAATACTTATATATACTTCTAAAGTAATTTTTTATTGCATGATTATCAATCAACATTTAACGCAGGAGAAACATTTATTATCATCCATTGGAGACCGGCACGATGAGGGATATATTTCTGCAACCATTCGATAACCGATTGCTCGGTTGCGTCGCGGCAACATATTTTATAATGTTAATCGCAATGGCGACGGTGATTTACGCCACAAAAACGATTTTGCATAAGGAGGAAAGATATATTGGAATCGGGGAATCTGCTCTTTGGTGTTTGAGTATCATGTGCATGCAAGGTTTCTTTTCTTTCTCTCTCTTTTTATTATAAAACACAGACATTATTATATTATACTAATCTTATCACTTTTTTCATTTAAAAAAATATACAGCATTATAATATTGAATTGCTTATATCTAACAAAAATATTGCTTTATCTAGTCATAAACAAATATAATTTTTGTATATGTATATAAATTTATTTATTTAATTTGAAAAATTGTGAATTAGCTTAGTATTCTGTGTGTTAATTTCATAATTGTATTCATAAAGTACATTCATAACGATTGGAATTTTAGGGTCACCTTGGAGTCCTCGAACCCCATCTGGAAAGACTCTGCTATTATTCAGTCTTATATTCTCTCTCGTAATGTACAATGCCTACGCCGGCTTCATCACGTCCATATTATCGGTACAGGTCACTGGAATCAAATCAATCACGGATCTTCTCCTTAATAACTTCAAATTAGGATACAGTGTCGCCGACGATACATATATAAGAGTATTGTAATCAATATGTATTATAATTATTATTATCGGTTGATTATACTTGGTTATAATTTCTTTACACAAAATGCACACCTTATTATTTATCAAATGTCAAGAAGATTTTGAAAGATATTCTACTTTATCGAAAATTCTTTTTTAGAAATCTTTAAAAAGATTTTAAAAATTTTGCTTAAAAAAACTGATTTCAGATATATTGGTATTATCATTCGCATATTATATCGTTTATCTTTCAGAATGCGAACGACAGTAATCTCCGTCAATTGTATATAAAGGCATTCAATAGTCGCGAATCTCGCTTGGAAACAAGAACCGGACTTATGAAAGCTGTTAAAGGACGATACGGATTCTTTGTCAGCGCGACTCTTGCACGACGAGCTCTCAGAACAACTTTTATACAAGAGCGATGTATCTTGAAAGAGCTATTACTTCCACAAACGCTTACAGTCGTCGCACTTCCTATGGCCAAAAGTTGTCCATACAGGAAGATCATCAATCTCAAGTACATATATAAAATGAATAAAATTGTCAAATTTATGTCATATTTTAAAACACATTTTATACTAGGAAAAAAATTATTAAAATATATTTATAGATTTTTAATATAAATTAAAAAATTATATTTATAGATTATTAAAAATCTATAAATTTATAGAAATGCATTTCTTAATGATTTATATCTTTATAACTACTAAATTATTATATAAATACATGTATCTCTTTCACATACTTTCTTAAAAAGTATTATAAATACACGTATTTTTCTTATCCTTTCTTAAAAAGGTCTCTTTAAAAGATTTAATATTATATTCATAAATTTTGTTTACAGTATATTACGTATATATGAACGTGGCGTCTTGGACAAAATACAAGAACGGATGTTGCCGACGATGCCGCGATGTGCGGCATCAGCGGCCTTTCATAGCGCAAGACTTACAGACGTTTATTCCGCATTTTTCCTTCTAACGGCAGGTATACTCATAGCGATTTCCATCGGAATCATCGAGAGGATATGGAACAAACGAAAACAGATGCATAAGACTATTGTGCGCAGTCTACGCGAGCATCATTTGATACCGCATATTCATTTCCATCATCATCGTCGTGATCACGATCGCTTCAACCCTCATCTTCATTCTCATGCTGCTCTTCTAACCAATAGATTGCGTGGCTACGATTCCACGTATTTGACAATGTTGCAGAATCAAGCTCGTCAATTACAGTCGTTCGTCGGTTTTCAAGAGCGCGACACATCTCCTGAAAAATCGAAAGGCCCGGGTCTGAGGCCGCGTTTCCATATACGAAGATCGGTCGGTCCTAAAAGAGCGTCTTGGTCTTCCTTCTCGGGCTTATCCAAAAAGAAAGTAAGATCGATCGAGAAAATCCTGCCGACTTCGAATGTGGAAACCATTCTTAGAACCCAGGCCTTTCACAATTAATTGTCCTTTTGTCGTCTCAAAATCTTTTAAGAGTTATAGAAATCTAATTTTACTCTAAAAATAATTATTACGATGTCTATCATATTTCAAGATAATTCTTCAGCTCCCGTCAAGATAATTCTTCACATCGCATCATACATCGCGTCTCTTGAAAGCGTTTAAAATTATTATTATACAATAAGTACTTTCCTTTATTTAAGTTCTTCTTTTATTTAAGTTATAATTATAAATATTATTATGCAGATTATTAATGTGTATAATATTACATGTATAATATTTTATATATAATCTTTTAAATAATATATCAAAAATATACATGATATAAATCTATGATCAATTATGATTATTATATTTGGCTAGAATCTTCACATGAGCATTGACAATTTTCATAGGCCCTTGTCGCTTGTGTATACTGTTTATACCTCTACAATCTCGTAGACTGCTGATTTCATTTCTGTAGGAAATATAAAAAATTTTAATCTTTATTTGTTCCTCAGATGCATTTAATTAATCACTTAATAAACTAGAAAAACAAATGAGAATTAAAGAAAAAGAATTTTAAATTAAAAGAATATGCATTACACCTGCAAAGAATATTTTCTAGATTGAGAATATATTCGTCATCTTCGCACCATTTCCTCCAATTTTTGTATAATCGCAGCTCTTGTATTTCATCAAGATACTCATGACACATATCTTTTAAACTAGAGAATTTTATGATTAAAGTATCGTAACAAAATCAGAGGATTATTTTATGATAAAATAATTAATATATATATCGATTCTATAATAAAGAAAATTTAACGAAATTTTTCTTCTTTTTATAAAAATTAAATTCTTCCTAAGCTAAATATAAATTTTTTTATAACATTTCACTTTTTCTCCCACAATCCATCGGCGGATGAAGCAACGAGCTTATCGCCCGGTAATGGAACGGAAATAAATCGCTGACCATCAATTTCTCGCAAACTATAACTGTAAGAATTTCAAAATTCGCGTTACGTTAGTAAATAAGCATGCTACGCAAAAAATTACACAATGAAGAAATAAAGCATTTACTGTTGAAAAGAGTGATCGCAGATGGTTCTCAGAACAAACACGACTTCCGTATCATTCAACCAGTCGTCAGGCGCCATTATATTGTGAATCTCCAACAGAGTTTGATTAATCTGAAAGTAAATTGTAGAAAAAAATGTATCTTTTTTAATCCAAGATTAAATTCTTATATTTATATTATATTTTATTATATTATATTTATTATATTTTTATTATATATATTTATATTATATTTATTATATTATATTTTAATATTTTACGCATTTATATACTATCCATTTATATTAATAAAAAATGTTTGTAATGTAAATGATTGTAAATATAAAGAAATCTAAAACTGATCCTTAGACGAACCTCCTCGGCGACGACCGTACACATGCTGCATCTAACGCAAGCGGATGATAAATCCACGTATAACTTGCCACATATGCTTACGGCACAGTTATACGGGATCCTCATCACTCCAAAACCGGACGAGCTACACTCGCAATAGGGATCAACAGTGACATTCGAATCTTTCAAAGGATTATAATGAATTGCGGTGGAGTAAACATGCTCGTCGCCGCTTTGACGAGTGTGTATTTTGACGAGCTTGCTAAAATTGCAGCCATTCAATATGAATACGAGTAAAAATAGTATTACTGATACCGTTCTCGAGGACATTATTTCGACCTCGTCATGTTTTTTAGAGACAATTCTTTGACACGAATAAATAGATAAGTAGACTAAAAAAGAAATAATAGCAGTCAACTAAAGCAATTCTATAATGTAGAAATTACAAATTCAAATTTTTTATTTTAACAAAAAGTAATATATAATTTGTAATTTTTAAATTAATCTCTAATATAATCTCTTACGAAAAAACCAATTCTTATGAACTCCTTTTAATTTGCATGAAATATCCTAATATTATTAATATGCTGTGTAAACAAATCAGGTTAAAAACATATATTAAGAAAACGACGAAAACAGATGAAGCACGGAACTGTTTAATATTCCAAAAAGCAAAATATACATGCAAAACATGACATATGAGCAAAATATACATGCAAAATATGACATGAGATATGAGAGTTATACATTTAAAAATTTATATAAATAATTCATATACAAATCTTTTCGATGACAGTATTGTAAAAGCTAAATGAAATTCAAATGATGTAATCAATTACGCCATTAAAAGTTTTTTCATTTTATTTTAGAAATAATTCTTTTCTTTCTTTCCTTCGGCTTTACTTATATACAATTGTTGCAATATATAAACCTACAATTGCCGTCAAATATAGGCATTTAAATAAGCTATTTAAATGTCATATAAATGGCAATGGATGCAATTTTGTTCTGCTCCTTTCGGATAAATTCGGTTCGAGTCGCTTCATCTATATATTTTATATATCTATGACTTCATTATTTCGCGCATGCGTTTTAGCCAACACGGTATAAACTGTGATTTGGTAGTCTATTATTACGTATTCTATGAGGATGTATGATACATGAGATGTATACATATTTTCTGTACTTTAGCAAAGCTTTAGAAAAGTAATTTTAATATAACAACGATGTTGGCACGTCAATTTCTGTGCAGAAAATTACTATGGCATTCCTCGTGCAGCTGCGTATCCGTTCGATATACGCAAAGCGTAAGTCAACATGCACTAGATACGATAAACTTCGAAATGCGATTGCCGACTCCTATAACGAGACAACGACAACGGCAACCATTCGCTAAAAATTTATTTCTCGGCGTATTTGACCACGAATTAATGTATTATCCCGAGCCGCAAACCAAGGAAAGGCATACACAATTTTTCGAGTGGCTTCAACCCATCGAAAAGTATTTGTCGCAGAATCTGGAAAATCCGCAAAGTGTCGAGAAGGATGATATTCTATCTCACCTGAAAGATCTTGGAGTCTTTCGGGCGCACGTGGATGAACAGTACCTCGGTTTGAACTTGAATCAGACAGAATTGGCCAAATTAGTAGAAGTACTCAGCTGTTTCCCCTGGTTGGGTTCCTACATAGTCAAAAATCACATCATGCCTGTTCATATCATCTCTACAATGGCTTCGGAAGAACAGAAAGCAAAGTACTTGCCGAAAATAGCGACCGGTGAAATCGTTCCCACGATCTGCTATACCGAATCCGATAGTGGAATAAATTTCAATAACATCAAGTCTATGACAATATTGTCAGATTGTGACACGTTTTATACATTGAATGGTGAAAAGTTGTTTGTAGCCAATGGACACGACTCGAATCTATTTCTTGTATTCTCTCGATCTGGCCATTCTCAAGCAATCAGCAGTGGGCAAAGTACCTTGTCAGTGTTTCTGGTAGACTCCGATATGAATGGTATTACCTATAAGGATATCAAGAATCTAGTGGGACTTCATAATAGTTCTACCTGTACAGTTGCTTTTAAAGATACCATAATTCCAAAGGATCATGTATTAGGTGAAATAACATCTGGAATGAGTATATTGATAGATTCGCTCGCGCCTGGAAACAGAAATCTTGCTCCGCAAACAATTGGTATATTAAAAACTTTTATAAGATTATTAACGAGGCATGTACTGGAGAGGAAACATCTGGATGAAAATATGCATGAGTATGAAAGTGTTCAAGAAGTAATAGGTAAAATATCGACTGCTTTATATAGCATGGAAAGTATACTGTACTTTACTACTGGCATCATGGACATGTATGAGAATCAGGATTGTACCCTCGAAAAAGCTATGGTAGAAATGTATTGCGTAAATGAATGTATAACACGTATTTATGAAGGGCTACAAATCATTGGAGCACGAAGTTACTTGACAGAGAAGCCTTATATACAAATCTTAGAAGATGCATTATCTTATACATTGTTTGACTCCTACAATATTGATTCTAACATGTACATATCTTTACTTGGTCTACAACATATGGGCAAAAATTTGCACCAACATATAATGAAATTACGAAATCCACTAGAGTTTCCTCAACATGTATTAAATTGGGTCTTTGGTAAAGAATATCAATTAAAGCTACACATTGCTGAACATCTGCATCTGTCCTTGAGAAACGGTGGTGAATTACTGGAGAAATGTATCACCAGGTTAAATACTGTCGGAATATTAATGCTACAACGTCACGGTAGTGAAATATCGAATCGACAAATGGAATTACATAGAATAAGCGAATTAGCAACGAAAACATTCGCATTACTAACTGTTCTCTCGCGAACTTCTAGAGCCTATTGCATCGGCTTGAGAAATGCCGATTTAGATCGACAATTGGCCAACATTTTTGCGATTCTTGTAGACAATAGAATCAAAACTCTCACGGATGAAATCACATCAGGGGAGTGGGTTAATGGTGACAAATTGTACAAAAATATTGCCGAACTTATATACAGTAACAAAGATTATTTTGCCGAACATCCGTTAAGCAGAAGTTATTAAACATTCATTTTATATTAGATTTGATTCCTTTTAGAATACAAATATGCACATGTGTATGTATAATAAAAAGAAAAATAAACAGTTATCCCGGAAATGTTTATTAAATGTATGTGTTGAGCAATGTGTTTAAATTTCATAACCACATTGGTTAAGCATCTGCAGAATCCATAAGATAACATAGATATATCTGTAAATTAATTTCAACCAAACTATATCTACTATTTTATAAAATTAAATTATATTCTGTAAAGATTGTTCTATCAGTCGCCAACAATTAGTTACATAAATGCAAGAATACATAGAAAATAGTATTGTTTATATTCATGCAACTAGCTGTTTGCGACTAATGTAGAACAATCTTAACAATATATATATTTATAATGCATCTCTAATTTCCTCTAAAAATAAGGAATGTACATCATATTCCACCAATATTCTGTATTTATCAATTTTACAGTTATATCTTACATATTAAGATCAATTTTGTGTATATGTGTATATGTAAGTGTAGTGTGTGTTGCGCAAAAAGTAAATTAAATACTTTTAATCAGACTTTTCTATTGGGCATTCCTAAAAATTTTTTAATCATGAATCACATATTGCTTAATATAGTTTGAAATATACTCGTAATGTTTCCACTATGTCAACCATCATTCACTACTTAGAATTTCTGACAAATACATGAAGAGGTGGACGGTATTTTTTTCTACAGACGTAACATGACTAGTCTTAAATGCATAAATATGAAATTCTATGTAGGATCATTGGAAGAACCTTAGGGGAGAGAGACTTCGCATTAGTAATTTCCTTATTTAATATTTTACAACTAGTTTTACTATAGTCTTTCCGCTTGAACAATAACCTGCTCTTCCCGATATAAATCAGTCGCGGACCAACAACTTCTAATGCAGGTGTATATTAAAACAGTACCGAATTCAATCTGGAAATTCCGTTCACTGCGTGGATTTAATAACAACTTTGGTATGATCGTCGATAAAACTTGTAACTCAAAAATCATTTCATCACCACAATTTCGACATTTATCAATGCAACCACTCAGCGGATATAATAATAACGGTGCAGAGTTGTCTCTTGAATAACTAAAAAATAAAAATATATATACTATCATAATATATCATCCATATGTATAATATAAATGCTTAGATATCAAGAATGAAACATAATTAATGATTTTACCGTAACAGCTGCCCAGGATTTCTTTGTATTCTGCAAACAAAATTGTGGAACATTTCATCACCGTGCTTAGGAATACCTTTCTCGTACTTTTCCACATCCGTTTCAATTGTCTTAGCATTGCCGGAATCTGGCGTAAATTTCATCGATGGATCCGGATTGCCATGCTGATATTCAACTAATAAATCTCGAACGTGTTGGGGCACATCTGTACTGCAATCTTCTTCATCAACCGAAAGAAATATTTCGTCGAATGTGTATTTAATTTCTTCATTCATTATTTGCAGTGGCAATGGAGTTACTTCGTGTAATAAACTAACTAAATCACATTGCGGTCGCGTCGGAGTATCAATACATACAACTTCGTTTTCATCTCCATCGATCTCTGCTGAGGCTTGAGGAGAATCTAAACGACCTACGGCGCCTCCACTAACTGGAGAGTCCACACTAGTTGGACTGTAACATTTATAAAAAAAAATATAATTATAAAATGATTATTACACATTTTACACGCACATACATAAAATAGTTTTATACAAACCTATTTGCGTTTGGATCATCTACACGCAACATAGACAATTCTTCTCGTATATCTTGATCTATTTCTTTATGCAAAGAAAAATGAAATTGTAGCGGATCATTTTCCAACATGTTATTCCCATTTGGTTCTGACGCATTGTCATTTACATTATCCCCCCAATCATCTGCATCAGATAACCAAGCTGTTGTGGATGGTACATTAACACTCCCAGAGTCTGGAATACTTGTACTTGTTTCATCTTCTAAGTGCTGTATTCTCAGGCATGTCCAACTTTTATTTTGATTCCAGCAGTTTGGATTAATACATGCAAATATGTATAATGTCCGGTGATATTTTGAATTATCTAATGGTGCATACAACTGGAGTGCTAAGAGCTGATACAAGCCACAGAGTCTGCATTGTGGTGACAATAATGTATTTTTCCCATAACAATTCTAAAAAATGTAATAACATTGTATATATTTTATTATTATATAATTGTATAATTACATATCAAGTTTTATTGCAAATTAATAGTTTAAAAATTTATACTGTATTCTAAGAATGTATATATATACATACATGGTGTATATTGAATATAGTTATAATATGAAATTGCTTTATAGAATAATTTTATAATTTTATTAATATTATAATTACATTCAATTTCAACAGTACAAATTAAAATTCACGTAAATTAAATGAATTTATTCTCTTTTCCATAAAATAAAAAAATATTCCATACATATCATTGGTTTATCTCGTTTGATATACTATTCATCGTTCACAATATTTTTTAATAAATATTTAACTCCAATCAAAGTAAAAATCATGATAGATGAAATTTTTATAAAAATGATTAATTTTATTAAAAATAACTGTTTTATTCTTTATTCTACCCACCGGATGCCCGCCGATCTTATTCGTCGTAAAGTTGAGTAAGGGCCGATGCTTGTCCGTGACATACTCATCCTCGTATCCGAGGTACACTTTCATACGATTGTCGCAAGCCATTTAAACCATTCAATCGCAGCTCTACATTGGAAGACTACGTACGTAGAGCTCCAGAACACCTGACACAGCCGTTTTACTTACGACCAGGACAGCTGACACGCATCAGTAACGCTTGACGCGTGCGCCTTCGCTGGTTCGCGCATTTCCCTTATCGATTTTTTTGAGCTATCAAGTGGACATTGCGAGTATTCTCGTTATGTAGATGCTTTGTAAAATCGCAAAGATGTCATTCCAATTCCCGCTTTGGATCAAAATACCATATGAATGAGATATATTGATATATACGCAATACATAATGAAACGTATTCATTGTATTTATGTAAATGCATTCTCTATAAAACGAGATATTTAGATAATAAAGAGAAGAAGAAAGGAAACGAAGTATAGAAATAAAATTGAAACTAATATATCCATGTATAGTTGTATATACTTAACAGAAGAGATTACCTCTACATTCTCTATATTCTATTAGAGAAGTAATGTCATTTTAAACATAAAACATAAAAAAATAGATATTATATCTATATACATCGGTATTAAAAATAAAAGTGAATTTAGGCATGATACAGTATATTTGCCTGTGATATTATGAAACAATAAAGAGTACATGTATAAAATCAATATAAAAGAGTATTCTTTATTTTATACATTATGTAAATAAAAATTTCTAATCTACCAATATATTTGTTTATCACTAAATATCATTTTTAATATTTTCTGACTAATCAATCTCATGGTATGAGTAGGTACTACAGATGTATATAAAACACAAAGGATGTAATCATTATGTTTTACAGCATGACATTTATGATACTCAGAACATAAGTATGTTTCCTTTGCTCCAGTAAATTTCCAAGCATTTGTAATTACCTTTTCATCACTATTCTCTTTATGTTCAACTGATAATCCAAACATTTCAACTGCTTGATGATAAAACGTTCGTAAAATATCTAATCTATGCGATCCTATCACACGATTTTTTTCACATTGCAAGTTTCTGCCAAGTACAAATTTTTCTACTTTGTAATTTACCAGTAGAAATCTAAAATATTTATTAAATATTATATGACAAATAATTGTCTCTTAATATAATTGTCTATTAAATGTAAATAAATAATTTATTTCTATTACCCAAGTGTTTCATTATCTAAAGAGACTGATGCAGGTAAATTTCGTGGATAACATTGTTCAACAGTGCATAATACATCCATATTACTCTTCCAGCATTGTACAGCAAATCTCTCAATTTCTGTTAATTCAGGATTTGGTCCACATAATGCCAGAATTTGTACATGATTAATAAGAGTAATAGCTACTAATCTGAAAGCCACCTAAACAGAATGTTACTATATATGTATATATATAATTTATTTATATGTATTTATTTATATATATATTTTACTTAATTTTTTAAATGTATATATATATATATATATATATATATATATATTTCTTAAAAAATGCTTACATTTGGACTTTTGCAAGGTAAAAAAACTGGAATATCATATGTAGTACAAATACTCTCCGAAGTAATTGCTATCGTTAACAATTTTCTTTCCACAGAATCTAGAGACCACCAGCCCTCTGTAGCAGCTGCTACACAACCATGTACCAGAACACATCCATATATTGAGTCTAGATATTCCATAAATCCTTCCAAACAAGTCTTGAATATATATCTATTGAGTATTATATATAATTTTATGCTGTATATTTCACAATAAAATTTAAATACCTGAAGCAAAATATTTTCTGAGGATATGATGCATTCTGTCATATTAACTATATTGGTTTTTGTAGAAATTTTATCTCCTATGTCTAAACAATCCATTAAGCTATCAATAATAGAACTACAGAGACGCATGTCCTTCTTAAGTCTTTCTATATTCTTAGAATTTTTTATTTCATCAATGCCAGTGAAAAGAACCATTGCACCAAAAGTAGCATCCAGAAATTTATCTAATATATATTTTGTTACTCCGCTTGCAATTGCTATTAATATAATGCATTGCTCAAATTCTTTCCATATTACTGTCATATCTGACAAGTCGGTACTTAACAGACTAATATCTTGAGATTTTAAGAACATATGGACTCCATTGAGGGAAGCAATTTTCGAAAATGTCATCTGCAAATAGTTTCAAAAATATATATACATCTAATTTTATATAATATACAATTAAATTTTTTACTTTAAATATATAACTTATACGCAACTGTATCATTATCTCCTTTCTGGCGAGAAAATAAAGGAATCCCTCCAGAGGAAGTTAAGCACATAACATATACCGACATTCTCGCTTTAATATTTTGCAAATATTGCAAAACTATTATTATTGACACTATTATTATCTTTGAATCTTTAAAATTGTAAAAAAATATTCTAAACTTAAAAATCAACCATCTTAATTAATATCTTAATTATTTATTTTATTTTATTATCTCTTATCATCTCTCATCTCTCGGGAATTTCGGAATATCAAATATCAAATATGCTAAATAAAAAGTAAATAAACATTTAAAATTGACAGACTGTAAATGATTTAAACTGCGGTCGGATAGACATCAGAAAAGCTTCGAGATGTTCGATTCAACAACCAATCAAAACAAAAAGAGCAAAAGTGTCTTTTTCTGATTGGTTAAAACGCAATGCTTTGAAGCATCTCTAACGTCTTTTCGACCACAGATTATAAACACAGGTATATAGTGGCTCTGTCTTCCCTCTTCTCTAACTAATTGCACTAGTGTAGCAGTGCAGCTGAAAAGAACAGACCTAGTGTAAATTGATTGAAGCAGCCTTTTCATTGACGCTATTTTTAGCGTCAATGAAATTGCACCTTAACAGTTGGCAGCCCTACGAGATAGGCTGTGCAGCACTGCGCGTATATAAAATAAATTTGAAATCGCTTCTAGCCTAACCATCTTCACGCGATCGACTTTATTTGAATTGCACGGCATCGCATCGAATTATGATGCGGCGCCGATTTGTTCGAACGTAATTCGGGACATCGCGATGCTGTATAAGCGTCGAATGAGCACGAATTGTCACGCAAATATGATAAATCACATCTCCTCACCGTTCACCGGCTGTTCCACAGGCCGCTCCACTCGCTCGCCTCGGGACGTCCCATTCCGATCTTGATGCACACGATATCATCAACGCGAACGCGCGACACTTTATTCGGCACTCCCGATATTCGCTCGCATCCGATAATCATCATCAAGGGCGCAAATAACGCGACGCGACTTCGCTCCATCTTCGCGATCGCGCTATCACTGAATTGTCGAAAACGACTGTCGCGCACTTTCACCGACATATTATGAAAGTCGCGCGATCATCCTTGGACACTTTCGACGCTCTTTCACTCGCGATATTCGTTTAAAAACGGTTAAAAGATGCGAAAAATGCGGACGTACGACGATCCGTGTAACTGAGTATGACTCCGATTCACGTATGACGCGTATAACGTAGCAATGACGCGTATGACGTAGCAGTCACGCGCCAACATGGCGGCCGAACCATTGCGTATTCGTTTCTGCGCATGGCCATTCCTGCGCGCAACTTTGATTTCCGAATATTGTCTACGGCTTTAATTAATAGCACATAAATATATAAAGATGGAATCAATTAATCATATTGGTCATATATGTAGACTTGTCCGAAGAAATAAAAAAAAATTGAGATATATTTTTAATTTCTTTTTCTTTTAGTAAAGGATGGAAATGTCTATTCATAGGCTTGTTCTTTTTTCCCTCTTTCGTGCAATTTCGATTCAATATATAACGTAGAAAATTCATAGTATATTATGCTAATGATATGAATTACGAATGATTCGATTGTTTTATCGCGCTTTTCCAAAGTCAAATCTTATAATATTTAGTTTTGCATTTTAAAAGACTGAGAGCGATTCATATACAGAGTTTGAAGAAATATCCAATGCACGACAAATTATACTTGCGTTGATTAGTATTCATCAATACCGAACTGTTAATCGCGAATACGTACAACACTTTCACACATTTTTTTCGCAGAGAACGATATACGAAATGCAATATTTCACGCCTCGCGTTTCACTCATGCGGCCATCTTTCTTTGCTGTTTAGTATCGCCATCTGCATTCGCGTTAAACGCCAGAATTACGTAGTCCAGATACTTCGACTGCCGGTAAAGTCATCATTTTGTGCATGTCGGTAAATTGTTAGAATCGCGTCGCGCAAGCATGATTTTTTTATTTGTAACATAACAAAATATGTAATTAAAAATTCATGTAAAACACGTGTTTTTAATCAAATTACATATACTTATTCCGTTACTCTAATACTTGTACGTTAACAGATTTAAGTTACACACATTGCATAAAGCTTCCAGAGAAAAATATCCAGAGGCACAAATATTTTATTAGTTAAACGAAAACCATGCGAAGATGAAACAATAGATTAAAGAAGCCGTATAATCATTGTACTTTTATGTATAAACGTTTCACAAAATAAAATCTTTATAAATGAAGTGTTACATTAAAAATATTAGTATAAAATTAAATATCCATGTGAGATTTAAAATTTTTTGTCCTTTTTTTTCTTTAGAATTTTTTTATTTTTTTTTTTCTAAAGATTCTTTAAGCGAGAACTGCTTCTCTCACAAGACTATTGAACAATTTGAATATTTGATATTTTTTTAGTAGTTTAAATTTCGTGAAAAAATTCGAGAGAAAATTAGATTTTACCGTATTACTGCACATATCGATTAAATGCTATATCAAATATGTAGTGTAAATATTTTAATTTTTTTGTATATGATCTATTTTTTATTCTATCGATGTTTTCATAGTGATGCACCTTTAACATTTTACTTCATATATTTGCACTAAAAATATATTAAAGCAAATTATTTTGCAAATTTATTATTCTAATTTTTATTTAGAAAGACTAAGATTAAAAAAGACGTATGCATTTTTTCAGATATTTCTATTGAAAAAAACGCATCAGATAAAACTGACTTTCCTGTACATTTTAAATGTGCCAAAAGATTTGCTCTTTATTCCACTTACTGCAATAATGTACACTAAAAATGACAGATCTATATTAAAAATGATAGATCTATATTTAGTAGTTGGAAAGAAAGAGACAAGAAATGAAAAATGCATCTAGAGAATTTAAAAGAATAAATATCTAAAAATAATAATACATAAAAATTAATATTATGTATTTTTTGCATGAGAAATGTGGGGCGCACATTTATGCATTTATTTATTTAGATGAGATTTACTTTAGAGCACATTCAGTATTCAACTTTAATTTTATTTTCTCTTTCTTATGATACAAAAACTGTAATAATACGAAGAACACAATACGCTTA